GTTGGGATCAAGCCTCAGCATGGGCAACGTCTGGGCTCAGGCACTGAAGCAAAAACGAACAGAAATGATCCCCACAAGAGCTGCACAGCGCCCTCTCGAGGCCCCTGCCACACACGGTTCTTGCCGCATCCCAGGATGGACGCGGCAAGCCGCTTCTGCAGCTTCCTCGGCAGTTGGCAGGAGATTCAGACTCCACAGTTTCCGCGATTGCTTGGCAGCCCCGATCCCAAATCTTTCCAAGCTTCAGCGACATGGCAAAGCCCACTCCCGAGGTGGCCCCGAGGTGGGACAGGAAGCCTTGAACCTGGGCCCTGCGGTGCGCGACGATGCCCGTCTCCACACAGAAACAGAGCCAGCACTGAAGTCAGGGCTGAGGCTTGAGATGCCTCCTCCAGGTCTTTTTCGGTCTGATTCGGTAATGAGATGCGGGATATGGGAGACTCGTTGCCTGTCTCTGGCACGCTTGGCCTTTGAGGCACTGGATGGCGCTGGCGCCAGCATTTCGGCTCGCTGGATTCCGGACATGTGGTCATATTCATATGGGTTTTTGGCGGTCTATGTCACACAACGCACATGATTATATGGCTCAGGCTTGCGACTTCCACTGTGCTGGCAGTTCCAGGCCACCTTTGCACATGGCTGCACACTCGCGTGCATTCCTCAGAATCTCGAGAACTACTACACGAAACTTCACAACAAAAAGGAGAAGCAAAGCAAATGAAGTTCTTCGGCGTCAAGAGACCCTGGGCCAATGCGAGTGAAATCGCAGGTCTGGTTGAATTCTAGGAGCGCATCGGTAGATCGACGAATGAGCAGCTGTACAGAACTGTTGTCACCATTATGCGCTTGGATGTCTCACTGCGTGCACAACAAACGAAAATTCTTTTGGCTCACCATTTGTAGGATTTCTTTCCCCTGGATGGGCCCATGTTCCTCAAATGCTGCATGGGGCTGCCCGTGAGGGCCGAGCTGTCCGCGCGCCTCTTCTTGCCACGCAGTCTGGGGCTCCCGGAGTCCGAGAGAACGCGCTGCTGCAAGTTGTGTCCACAGTTCTTACAGAAGGCCGCCTCTGGGGAAGCCTCCGCATGGCACTGAGAACAGTGGTTATCTGGGAGATCCGTGATCTGCGAAGGCGAAGATTCGATCGGCTCTACCTGCTCCATGTAGTTCAGAAGCTCCCGCGTGCTCCTCTCACTGTAGGAGACGGCCTCCTTTATGGCACTCTCGACCTCGATCGTCCTTCGAACGGCTCGCTCGATCTCGTCTTGGATCAGCTTCCGCTCCTTGTCCAGGAGCCCTTGGAAGCTGAGATCCTCGAAGACCGAAGCTTCCTCGGCCGCCATGGCCCGTTCCTCCTCGGCCTCCGCCACCTGCTCTGCGGCCTCCGCCTGGTCCTCGTCGTCTTCGGCTCGCTCTTCGCAACAGGCAGCAAAGGCCTCCACCTGCTCCTGGGCACAGAGCTCCGCCGAGGCCGCGAGCTCCTCGCAGTGCGCCACCGAGCACTCCAAGCTCCGCTCCGCTGCCGACAGCTCGGCCCGAGCAGCTTCCGTGCGCGTTTCGATGCTTTGGAGCTGCCGGCTCGCTTCCGCTTTTCGCTCGGCGGCTCCCTGGGCCTCTGCTGCAGCAGCCTTCGCTAGCTCTCGCATCTTCTCCAAACGCGACCTCACCTGCGCCACCTCTTCCCGAACCACGGCCTCTGCATCTGACACCTGCTGCCTTGCCGCGAGCTGCTGCTCCTTGCATGTGGACCATGCACGGCTCACTTTCACCCCCAATGCCTCGAAATTCTCATCGGCCTCCACCTCTGCAGCCTCGATCTCTGCAGAGGCCTCAAGCTCCCTCTCCGCCATAGCAGCCTCGGCGGCGGAACGACGTTGCTCGGCAGACCAAGCAGCGCGCTCCTCCGCGGCCTCTGCCGCTGCACGTCTTGCCTGGCCATCCTGCTCTGCTGCCTTGGCCAAGGCCTCGCTCTCTTGGCGCAGCACCCTCGCTGCCTCGAGCCTCTCCTCTGCCGCCCTTTCCTCGGCCTCAAACTGCAGGCGGCTCAGCTTCTCTTGGTCCACGAGCTGCTGCTTGGAATCCTCCATCAGTCCTTGCATCTTCGCACGAACCTGCTCTGACCACTTCTTCGTCTCCTCAAGGTCATTTTCCGCCCGATGCATGCGGCACTCGGCGTCCTTGACCTGACACGTAGGATTGGAAGCGCCATGAAGTATTGCTGAAAACGAGGTGCTTCTGTGCCATGCTCACTTGTCCAGCCTTCGCACCAATCTCCCTGTGATCGGCCTGAAACTTTGCCTGCAATGCTTCCACTTGGTTCTTTGCATCTCGCCTCGGCTGAGAAAGGCTCCGGAAAGGCCTCGCGCCTGCTCTGGGCCAAGGCGTTTCTCTCCAAGGCCGGCGCGCTGCTTCCTCGCACGTCCGAGTGGCAGCCAGAACCTGTCAGGTGCCCGTTCAAGGTCCCAAGGCGTGGCTGTGCTTGCAGCTTCTGGCAAAACTGTATCCGCATTGCGGTTGTGTTCACAAGATTTCACAAGATGGACAACGGAGCTGGGGGCGGCTGTCCACTATCCTATGCTTGCTCACTCCTGAACTAGCTGACTAGCGACACACGGGCCCTACGAGGCTTGCACGATGCCCCGATGCTGCTCACAAACCTACAACTGACACGCCGGAGCAGCCACGTGCCTTCCGCGCATGCTCTGCTCGCAAGCTTGCAATGTTTTCAGCAATTTGCTTCCTGAGTCGGAGGTCCGGTTTGGTGGCTTCGCCCTGCTAACGTTTGCAAGTGGAGGTTTCCACGAAACTTGGATTGGGCTGCTAAGACCTTATGTAGATGGTCAAGAGACTCGAGACATCAGCCGTGGCAATTGCAACAGCAGGCATCGGCAGTTTTTGGTACGGCGCAGGTGGACGCGTCCTACAGCACTTGTTTTCCCTCCTTGCTTGTCTCTCTGCTCCCGGCGCTTCAAACACAGGACGTTGCAGAATCTCGCCAGTTATCAGTCGGGTCCCCGGCTCCGTCTCCCGCTGCTGGCTCCGTGCCGCCGCCGTTCGGCTCAGGGCCTCGCCTGCGCGCGCTCTTCGTCAGAGGCCCTCTATCTATCTATCTATCTATCTATCTATCTATCTATCTATATATATATATATGTGTATATATATATATATGTGTATATATATATATATAGGGGGGTACAATATATATATATATATATATATATACATATATGTATATATACATATATGTAAGCATCCTTCGGCCCTTGGATCCTGTGCCGTCCCTCGGCCAGGCCTTTGGCAGCGGCGTAGAGCTCCGAGGAGTCCTTCAGCGCGCTGGCCTCAGACACGCCCCAGGGAATCTCTGGCTCTGGGTCTCATGAGGGTCTCAGCGCTCGAAGAGTCCGCGGCTCGAACATACAGTTGCCTCAAGCATTCCCTGAAGGTAGCAGTCGCCCCTTAGGTCTGCTGATGCCACGGGACGGTCTGTTCCTGTGCTTGTCGTGCTGCTTCCTCTGCTGCAGCAGACGCCTACACGGCAGAAACTGGAAAGTTGAAAGCGACTTGGGCCAAACACGCAGCAAATGGCAAAACCAACTGGCCTCCTCGGCCTGCTTTTGTGCCGAAGCGACAGCTGCGAGCTGCCTGGGTGTGAACGCACGTCGGCATGCTACATTTGGCATGCTGGCAGATCACACAAGCAAAGTGCAAAGAGAGCGCTGCCCATGTCCCAAATACCGGAGGCTCCAGGATGCTGGGAGCGCGGCTCTTCGATCGCAGCCTGCGTGCGTGCACGCTCCGATTCCAACAACCTCGGGACCGGCGGACTGCAAAATCCTTCTTAGCTTGCGAAAACCCGTCGCCAGTGCCAAGCTCTGTCTTTTGGGCGCCTGGTCCTCCGTGCTTCCGTCTTTCTAAGTGGTCAAGTCTCCGAAGCCGCGCAACGTCCCAAAAGAACCTAAGGCTCTCCAAAGCCCTTCCCCACAGAACCCCGAGGCGGCGGCTCCTGTGCCTTGCGCGACCGTTCGGCTGCAAGGACGGCCCCTCTCTCTGAGGCCGCCGTGGCCTGCGAGGCGGCGTGCTCAAGGTCAGCACGGCCAAAGTTTCTTCTTGCTCTGCTGATTACAAGTCTCGCCTTCCTTGCGATGGTAATGCTGGTGATGATGCTCGACGACACCCATGACAATGATAAAAGAAGCAGAAGATGGTGAGGATGATGGTGATGATGAACTGACGATGATGGCAACGAGCATGATTATCACGATGAGAACGATGATATAATGCGGACGATACTACGACGATGACGGTAACGATGACGATGACGATGTCGATGTCAAGGCTGATGATGATGATGACGATGATGATTATGCTGATGATGATGGCCATGATGATGATGATCATGATGTTGATGATGATGCTGATGATGATGATGATAATGATGACGACGACGACGATGATGATGATGACGACGACGATGATTATGCTGATGATGATGGTCATGATGATGATGATGGTGATGTGAGTGGTGAGTAGCGAGTGGTGATACTAGTGGCGGTGGTGGCCTGGTGGTGGTGGAGGTAGTAGCAGCAGGTCGGAGGACTAGTAGGAGTACAAGTAGGAGCATGAGAAGGATTACGAGTGGGAGTAGGAGTACGAGCGCGAGCAGCACGACGAGGAAAGGAAGGAGGACAAGGAAGCCGGCGAAGAGTCTTGTACTGATATTCAGCAATGGTGCGGTCGGCAATTCTCTGACGGTTTTGTTGCTGTTGCTGCTGCTGCTAATGCAGCAAATGCTGCTACTGCTGCTAACACTGCTGATGCTGCTACTTCTGCTACTGCGATTGTCGGTGCCGATGCCGTTGGTTTTCGCTGCTGATGATGGTGTTTCATTGCTACTCCTTGTGTGCTATTTTTTTGTTGCAGTTGGTGGTGGTTGCTGTCGCGGTCATGCTCAGCTTGATACTCGAACCCATAACCGCATTGATAGCAATCCAAGCACTGTTTACGAGACCCATGGCCACGAATACAAATGCGAGGACTGCGAGGAAAGGATGACAATCGGGAGCAGATATGTGCTGTCATGTGCTGTCAAGATGACGGCATGATGATGAGGAGGATGGCGAGAAACGCTTGTACAATCACCGATGTTTTCGTAGGAATCACGTCAAGGCCCGGATTGTCCCAAGGTCCCACCTCCGACAGCATTGCCTGACCCACTCGGTGTGCCTCCGCTCGGTGGCGTTCTTCGTGCTAGTTTGGGAAAGCCCGAGATTTGGGATTCCAACTAGGGTCTTTCCGACACGAAAGTAGGTCTCGGTCGGCCTAGGCTTCAAATCCCGTCCTAGAATCCGAGGCCGTCTGGCTTCTCGAGGCAATATCTGACATACTTGCAGCAGAAGCAGCAAGCCTGTTGACACGCAGGCAGCATGATGGCAGCCGGTTATGCAGCAATGCAACGTACTTGCGTATGGCGCGGTATGTATGCATGCATGCATGCATGCATGGGTGTAAGTTGGTACGTACGTAGGTAGGTAGGTAGGTAGGTAGGTAGGTAGGTAGGTGAGATAGACAAGTGAGACAGGTAGTAAGTAAGTCTGCTCATAGGTGTTTATGCATGAACCGAATGCGAACAAAATGCCAACCTACATGCCCATATGCGCAACCGCATGCATATAGCGGGATTGCAAGTATGTGTGCGGCTGTGTGTATATGCATACACATAAATGCACGTATAGTATACAGATGTGTTTGTACTTACATGTAGAAACGATGTACATATGTAGGCGTGGTTGCTTTATGCACGCAAGCACATTAAATGATATTAGATGCACATTATCTTACATGCTTGCTTTCTTAGTGCACGCCTGTTGGTGAAACTATCGTCTCGCTGTTTCTTTCGCTTGGTTCCCCTCTCTGACACGCCCTGTCCACCCTCTGACCTTCAGCATGCCCTCAGCCTTCCGAAACTGGCCCTTAACTCTGGCTTGCAAGACCTATGCTCTTGCCCTGTCTGTTTTATCCTTACACATGCGTTCAACGTCTTTTGCATCGCTTTCTGTCGCCAGGGCTAGGGGCAAGAGGGGCAAGCCCCCTCGCCATCGCTCTCTCTCTCTCTCTCTCTCTCTCCCCCCTTTCTGGCGGTCTAACGATCTTTCAGTAGTGGCAGATTTCCGTTCACAGCTCATATTTGCCTGGATCTTCAGAACAAGGCCCGCACTTCAGTCACGAGCTCCCGGCTCTCCTTCAAGGCATCCGCCTGCAGAAGGCTTGCACAAATTTTCGGCCTCCATCATGGCAACGGCTTGGGGTAGACACTAAGACTGGAATAGTTGGCACAAAAAGCCAAGGAACATCACGACTACATCATGGCGCAGCTCACACGCAAGAGCCCCATCTCTTTTCCTTGTTGCCACTGCGTGCCTGTCGGGTTGACAAGGGCGCGAAATCATGCACTGAATCACCTCTGGAATCCTCAGGGCGATCTTGACCGATGTGGAGAGGAGCCTACATCAAAACCATCCTCCGAGCCTTTCTTCATTGCTTTGGCCGACCCTCACTCCTGGTTGCTTCACTTCGTTGATGAGCCCGCAAGCTTGTTTCACTTCTGCTGACTTTGCTTTGGTGGCAATCAGGTGGTCTACTACCACGGGGTTTACCGAAACTAAATCCAGGCGTGCAGATGCCGCCGTTGCAGCTGTACCTCTCGCTGTGACCCGGTCAGTGATAAGCGCAACAGCGATGCAGTTGTAACTTGGGTTTAGACCCCGCAACTTGCATTTCAGGCATCGGTCATCGGCGAGGCTCCAGAACTTCGCAAAGCGCCTCACGCAAAACCTGCAGGTTCAGAGCATCCTTTGCTCCCTCAAATTGCCGAGGGCAGGCAAGTATGGCCTGTGGAGGGAGCTGCATTGGGCACCTTCAACACCTCTGTGACTGAAGCTCCCTCCAGGCTCCTCCCCGCCCTCAAATTGAACCATTTTTCCATCGGATTTGGAGGCCGGGGCCCAGGACCTCGGTGCCTCGGAAGCCGGAAGCCGAAGGCGTGTATTGAAGCAACGAAACCACTACGGCGCTATACGGCACTCCTGCGGGTCCCATCCAGCGTGGCCCTCTAGGGCTGCCCTGTGCACGGCTGTAAACCTACTTGAGGTCTCCGAATTTCGAAGCTGTGGCTCTTTCCACCCCAGATCCTTGAGCTAAGCAGCTAAGGCCTACGTCTTAAGTGATCAAGCGCACACTTGAGGCTCTTTCGTTGTACAGCTGGGGCAAACCTTTGAGAGGCCTTCGCCAGAAGGGCGCGCACCCCTAGGCCACCGTGGCTGGGCCAAGGAAAAAGGAGCCCAAGGGGATGGCAGCATCTATGGCTCGACGCAGCAGTGTTGCTCTTAGGATGCCTGAAGCTGCACCAGCAAGATTTTCGATTTCCCGCCTATGACTATGGCATGCTCCACAGTCCGAAAGTTTACAAACCCTAACTTTGGAATCGGCCGTCGATCCTGACACTTGCGCCAATCACAGCCGGGAGCTCGCGAGCACCAGGCGGTCCAGCCTTCGCGACTACATGGATCTCATTCAGGGTTCATTCGAAGTCTTGGGCCCCGAAGACAGAAGCTTCAATAGAGAGTATGACATAACGCACTGCATGGTGGCCGGAAGAAGCAGACCGCTCACATCATACAAAGACTATGCTGAAACCGCGCAGCTTGTATCATGATCCTCGCCAGAATGATACTGTGATCGTCGCCATAGTCATCATAATCATCATGAATCATAACCATCGGTCAGAACTGCCATCATCACGGCTTAACGGAGTCAGTACCTGATGAAATATATGACGACGGCGAAAGCTCATTAGACGAAGCAACGACACTACCGTGATGATGGCAACGAAACGAACCACCAACAGCGTCACAAAAGCAGTGGAACCCACGATCTCCTAACAATTCCCGGCCACTGTACGAGTACACATTCTGTGTGACAGCATGGCGACAAGTCACACGTTACAAAACAACTGGCATTATGTTTCATTACCAGTCTAGCGCAGGACTGAAAAACCAACGCTGCAAAGGGATGCACAACTACAAAAAAATGTGCACACACCATGTGTAAACACATACATACATACATACATACATACATACATACATACATACATACACCGTACATAAGTGTGTATATCTATACTGACTTTTCTACTTATTTTGTTATCTATGTGATTGTTTATTTATTTGTTTGCTTCTTTATCCGTCTATTGGTTCATTTGCTTGTTTGTTTACTGCTCTATGTATTTATTTGCTTGTTTGCTTAGTTATCTTTGTCTATTGACATTTTTTGTATTGGCTATTGACATACTTATACGTTGAGATAATTATATTTATGTATGTATATATATATATATGTATATATATATATACGTATATACTCAGATCTGTGTGTGTATATATATATATGCATATAAGCAATGTGGAAAGTTCGGTCTCAGGAAAGACCATGAGCAACGCTGCTCATTAACTTGAGCACGCACACGCTTGGCCAGTTTACTTGATTTCGTCTTTTGCACAGAGACTCTTGCCTTATGAAAAATCGTTGCTCACCTTGAACCACAAATTTCATGCGAATGTCAGCATCAAAGGTGACAGTACTGACGGCATCAGTATGACAGCACTACTAGTAGCAGTAGTAGTCGTCGTAGTACTCGGAATATTGTAGCAGTCAAAGTAGTTGTCCTCGTCGTCGTTGTCGTAGTCGCAGTCGCCGTCGCCGTGGCCGTCACCATTGTGGCGGTCGTCGTCGTCGTCGTCGTCGTCGTCGTCGTGGTCACTGTTGTTATTGTTCTTGTTATTGTTCTTGTTGCTGTTGCTATTTGTTGCTGTTGTTGTTGCTGCTGTTGCTGTTGTTGCTGCTGTCGGTTTTTGCTTCTGCCGCGATGGTGGTTGCAGCAGCCGAGGAGGATGAGGAGGAGCAGGAGGAGGAGGAGTAGCAAGACTGATATGGAGGAGATAAGTAGTATAAAGCAAAAGCTGCTGAAAAGAACACTGCAAGGCAATTTCTTCAAGAGCTTTTGTCATGATCAGAACCATAATGAAAGTACATAAGTCCTGACGAGATCGAGGTTTGCTGGCCTGGTCAGGCACAGAGCTGAAACGGCTTCGCCCGAGCGATGCGTTGAGCATGGGCTCTGGCAAGTGACTCCTCGCAGTATCGGTGGCAACTGAAAATAGAAGGTGAAGTGCTCAATCGAAGACGCGAAAGCGAGAGGCTGCGAGAAGCTGCGAAAAGAGCTGCCAAGTGGCCCCGTGCCAGGGACTCCCCCCTGAACCCTAAACCCGAATCCCTCAACCCTAAACAAATCCTTATCCCGAAACCCTCAGCCCAATCCTTAAACCTGAAACACCGTAAGCTCCAGCACCCCATTTGCTGGCTCCCTTTCCCAGGCCCCAGCTACGGGTTTTCCTAACTAAACCCTTCACAGGGTTGCTTCGGCGGGGAAGTGCACAGTACGCCGGAGCTTCAGGATTCTCCGAGCACCTTGAAAACTTGACAGCCGTCACACCGAGAACTGGATGCAAACCTGCAGCAACACTTCGACTTGAGCATCGACCTCGTTAGATCCACAAAACTGCCTCTAGAAACACTGAAGGTCTGTTCAAAGTCTGCTGTCCTCCACACACCCACGGGGATTTCGAAGCAGGCGCAGTGCTTTCGCCACACCCGGTTCCTTCAAGCCGTGCCTTCAGGCTTCCACTCTTGGGCGTGGGACAGCGCCGACCGTCTCAAACCACCAACACCTTCAGCCATTCATCCCGGAGCCCACATTCCGAAACGGATCATGAGGCCAATCGGCTCCATGCATCAAGGAACCTCGTTCAAGCAATGGCCCCGAAACCTTTGCTGCAGCAAAGCTGCTCCGGGTCGGTTTTCACGAAGTGGGGGATCATCAGCCGCCTGCTCAGGTCGAGCTTTAACAGCTGAGGCTGGGTCTAAGACCCGTCAGCTTAGGCGTATAAAAGGCGTATGAACACTCTGACTGTCTCGGTCGCAGACTGAGACTGAAACTCTTTTTCTTCCCTGCTTCCCGGCCTGTGCGGCGAGCTCATCGGCGCCAAATCTAAATCATCCAGCGCCACCCAATGTCTCACCTGCCACGTACACCAAATGTCCCGGATCTAGACATGCCAACAACTTGCGCAGAATGGTAACAGAGCTGCTATAATATGATTTGACTCTTGAAGTGCTCGAACCGTCGGAAAGGGGCACTGACCAGGTACTTCAGTTGTGGCACGCGTGCGTAGGCTCACAACCTTTGCCCCAGAAGGCATGGAAAAGTGGAAGATACCATGGTGAAAGTCGTGGGGCTACGGGGAGAGCCGCGCTTCAAGTCACTCCAAGCAAACACAGACCCAGCGGCTGCATCTAGCTCCGAAACACGCATGTCTTCCTCCCAATGCAGGGGGACCTCTGGGTGCCGTTTGAGCCACAGAAGAATCTCGTCCTGCAAGCAGCTCAGGATTCTGAGGAGACGCACAGAGTCCCCAAAGGTGTTGTTCCCGCGCTGGCGTCCTCCCTGCTCCGACCCTGATCTCGCAAGTCTGGGGTAGAGTCCGCCACTCCTGGAGAATCGGTGTCAGGTCTCCTCTCAACGGTCACCCGTAGCTATGGCGCTTCTAAAACAATCTTTAGCCCAGCCAACCTGGATTTCAAGCATTGGGACAGGCCGGTCGACTTATGATGGCTTGGGGTTGTGGTCGGAGATTTTCGGAGGCTCAAACAGGCATGGGAAGGCCCAGCAAAGGCCTGAAACATGGAGGCAGACTCGAAGGCTTAGGCTTTCTGCCGCGTGACTCCCATGAGACCCACGAACCAGGCAACATGACACGCACCCTTGAAGCCTCACCTTTCTGGAATGGCTCGTCTTCGGTCTGATGAGACTTGCGCATCTCTGCGGCTAGCAGGATTGCGTCCAAGCGGTCCACAATCCTGTCCAAGTTAAACCGCTCAGCCAGCTTCAAGCCCTTTTGCGATGCCTCCATTCTCAAGGAGGCATTATTAAACAACGCCCCGAGAGCATCCAGGACATCTGCATCCGAGCCAACGATAAGCTGTTGAGGATAGGCCTCTGCCTTCCTTTCATCTGAATCTCCACCCGCATCCGGAGGCCAGAGCCCTTCCACCACGTCCAGATAACCCTGCGCATCGCCCCAAACGATGCTAGGCATCCCCACACTCATCATGTTCCTCTGCTGCTTCTCTGGGCAG